ATTTTGATAGTATCTGGCCTATTTGTTTACGGAATGTGTGTCTATGTATTTCTTGATAAAAAAGGTTTTTATGTAGTGGAGAGTATCAGGATCACAACACTAGGTTTAGAAGAGATTTCCCATGTTCGGTATTTAGGCTCGAGATCACTAGAAAAAGCCCAAACTTTATATGAATTAAGTTTTTTAGTGCGCTTCCAGAAGATATGAAGCAGACTGTAAATATTAAAAAGTTTAGACGTCAATTGAAAGATTACTTGACTTACAAGACTTGCATAGTTTGAATGTTCAAATAATCTTAGCCACGTATTTAATTGGTGTTTAAATGCTACCCAATCGTACTGTGATGTCTTATTCTTAGTGGCATTAATTATTATTGACGATTTCTACACAATTGTAATATTCTCTTAATGGGAAATAAAATATATTTATGTATTTATTTTATTATTTATCATTTATTTAACTGTCATGTCACTGTGGTAGATGTATCATGCGGGCCCTGTCAAATCTCATCTATCTTGTCGCTTGTCATCAATTATGTCACCTGCACCACATGTCTCAGAACGAACTATCAACATCTACTGACTTTTTTTGGTACTAATTTCCCCATCCAACAAACATAAATAGAATAATTTTATTGTTCAGTGAGTAATTTCAAGCAATATTTTCTATATGCTTCGGGGGGAGGGATCCCTGATGGATTGAAGCAGAAAATTCGTCAGGTGATACAAATGTATACACTGATAAAAATTATTTCAGTAACAACGGGTAACCTGAGGTAAGATCTCTAAGTATGGCAAGTGAAAAACTGAACAATATTCAAAAAAATAATTCACCTATTCTGACAGTGCTTTAAATTTGTCCGAAGATAGTTTGCAATTTTTTTTTTTTTTTTTTTTACGGATATGCGCACTCGCAAGGAAATGTCCTATCACGCTCGAGAAGCGGCAAGTGCGCGGAAATGTCGGTGTATGTTGGTCTTGAAACGGTTCAGGTTGTAACCTGCAGGGAAAACCGTCGCAGGGAGTTTATTCCACAGCGATGCTGTTCTCCAGAGATATGAATTCTGATATAATGAGGTTCTTGGTGCCTCTAGTTTGACAGTAAATTCATGGTTACCGTCTGTTTGACGGGTTCGCCTGGTAGGCGCTACTCTCGGTGGAATCATACGTGCCAACTCTTCAGAGCATTTTCCGTGATAGTACCTGTAGAAGAGAGATAAATCGCCCACAGATCTGCGATGTTCGAGACCATCCAAGTTACGAGTAAGTGCGGGGTCATTGATCAGCTTGATAGCTCGTTTTTGCACGGTGTTCAAAAGCATTAAGGTATGTTTGGGTGCTGCACTCCATATATGTGAGCAGTACTCCATAGTTGGTCGAATCTGGGCTTTGTAGAGTGTCAGCAATTGGCTTGGTGTGTACAGATGTCTTGTACGAAATAGCACCCCCAGCTTTTGGGACGCCCTTTTAGCAATATCTGCCACGTGATTGTGCCAAGACATGTTGGTCTCTGCAGTAACCCCCAAGATGTTCAGCTGACTCTGTAATGTGACAGCACTTCCAGATAGCATAATGTTTGGCTCACCGGTGCTGTTCTTTTTTGAAAACAGAGCTGCTTGGGTTTTCTGTGCGTTGAACTGTACAAGGTTTTTGTTACCCCAGTCCTCTATTATCTCCAGGTCGTTATTTATCTGCGATATTTGAGTTAGTCTAAGATGATGGAATTCACGTGCGGAAAGACCTGTGGGTGGTATGAGTGAAGAGACTACATTGCCATCGTCTGCAAAGCAATAAAGTGGATTTACTGTTCTATCTATGAGGTCATTTATGTAAATCAGAAAAAGAGTTGGCGAAAGGATTGCTCCCTGTGGCACACCAGCATTTATTTGGTAAGAGTTGGAGTACTGGCCATCCAGTGCAACATAAATGGATCTGTCCTTTAGGTAACTTTCAAACCAAGTGCAAAGTTTCGGCGATAATCCCATTGCTTTGAGCTTGTTGAGCAGATTTTCATGCCAAACTTTGTCGAATGCTTTAGATATATCTAAGGCAATTGTTCTTGTTTCACCCCGCAACTCAATCGCTTTTTGCCATAAGTGAGTGACGTATGTAAGTAAATCGCCAGTTGACCTATATTTTCGAAATCCGTATTGCTTATCGTTGATAATTCTGTACTTTTCCAAGTACTTGGTTAGGTGATTGTTCACAACTCTTTCCATTACTTTTGATATCACCGGAAGTAGAGCAATTGGTCTATAGTTTAACGGATCTGTCTTTTTTCCTTTCTTTGGAATGGGTTGTACTGCGGCAGACTTCCATGATGATGGATATACTCCTTGCCTGTAAGACAAATTGAATAATTTTGCGAAAATTGGGGTGAGTTCGTTGGCGCAATTTTTGAGTACTATTGCGGGAATGCCATCCGGACCCATTGCTTTGTTTGTATCCAGCTTTTTAAGGGATTTTCGTATTTCTCTGTGACAAAAGGGTACCTCTGGCATACTATGGGAAACCCTTTCAATGAACGGTGAAGTTTTTCCGTTTGGCACTGTTAGGTTGGAGTTGGAGGAAAACATTTGGGCCAGCATATTGGCTTTTTCCTCTGATGTTGTGGCTAAGTGATTATTTTTATCTGTAAGTGGTGGTATGGATGACTTGGTGAAGTTAGATCCAACAGCTTTTGCAAGAGACCAAAAGGACCTAGAACTACTTGGACAATTCAGCAACCTGTTTTTTATTCTTTGATTGTATGTTTCTTTAGCGGAGTCAATAGTAATTTTGCAACTATTTCTGGCTTCTATAAATTCTGTGTGGTTTTGAGCGGTTTGTTGTCGTTTCCAAAGGTTATATGCTCTGTGTTTTTTCTGTACAGCCGTTTGACACTGGCTGTTGAACCAAGGTTTTGCATTAGCTCTACGTTTAGTTGTATGTGGGATATATGCATCCATTCCAGATAAGATTACTTGTGTTATTTCATTACAGCAAATAGTGGGATCAGCTGTTTTAAAGCAAACCTCTTGCCATGGAAAATCCAGGTAAAACTGTTTTAGGTCATTCCATGTTGCCGATTTATAGTGCCACATTTTACGAGGAAGTGGTTGTTGGCTTGGTGGGATGAGCATTCCGCACTTTGTTATTATAAGTTTATGATCGGACGAACCAAGTGGAGCATCTACTTGAATTGTGTACGAGTCAGGATTTGTGGTTAGGAACAAGTCTAAAAGCGCTGCAAATTCGCCCCTTTCTGAGATACGGGTAGGTTCATCGACAAGCTGCGTTAGACCACAACTTATGGCAAAAGCTTCTGCTTCTCTGCCTTCGTTATCTGTTTTGTTGTGGTGTTTCAGCCAGGGTATATTGTGGACGTTGAAATCGCCTAAAAAGACAATTTCCGCCTGTGGATAGTTTGACTGTATACTATCACAGCTTTCGGATAATGTCGCGAAAAAGTTTTGGTACTCGGTGTTAGATGGCGGTCGGTAGAGGCAGCAGATAAACTTGGTCGATGACTTTGAGGTGAATTTTAGCCATATGATATCAAGGTTCGCTGGTTCTAGCTTCTCCTCTCGATGACATGAAAGGTCATTTTTAATGTACACACAGATCCCAAAATTATGTCGAAATCGGTGGTGTAGGTCATAGCCGGGATAAAGATAGTTCACAATAGGTGTTGCAGAACTGATTTTAGTTTCAGTGAGAACAAGGATGTCAGGTCTTTGTTCTTCAAGATGTTGGTGAACTGAATTCATATTTGTACTTATTCCTCTTATATTGCTAAAATCAATTCTGAGTTGAGTTTTTGATCTTCTCTTTATATCTTTGCATGAAGGACCCCCAGGATCACCCGACGCCCGGAGATCCGAGTGGTCGGGTATTTTACCTCCGGAATATTTTGATCCTGGAGGCGCCATCATGCTATCTGTTACTCATTGTTGGAACCGGACTGCCAGCGCAGTAGCGGAACGTGGTGATACCACTTAGCGCTACTCAATTCTGGCATGGTGGTATCTCACCGGTCGACGCCCAATGAGTAAAAAGCGTCTACCACCTATCAATATAGCAATAGCTGTAAATACAATCTAGCCATTATCGGAAATCCCCAATGCCTTGGCAGTCTCAGGCAATGCTTTTCAGGCGCGCTAAATTCCGTCCGTAGAATAATTATAGTGACAATTGGTGTTGTACGCACAAATACCATAAAATATTGACTAATAAAACTGAAGTGATTGATATACAATTAAAATAACATAAATTCTATTCGAAACGCACATAAAAATTCAAATTTTAAACTTGATACAACTATTTAATCAAATGTTCAAAATGTCAGGGTGTCGGTTTTTCGAGGTAAACGATCAGGATCTGGAATACGAGATCGATTGAAATAGGGCAAAGTTGCGAAATTTGCTGCTTAATGAAATGCCGTTTTTACATTTTCAAAGATATTCGGAAAAAATCGAAATTTCGCTTTTTTCAAAACAAATGGCATTTCCTGTTGAAGATGAAACTATTCAATTTCAAATCCGACGTTTTGTCTCAGAGCGCCTATTATCAACAATATTATATCAAATAAAGCTCCGCATTTTTGAATTATTCTTCCAGAGCCTCTCCTCAAAGCATTTACCTATCATACTCGTCTATAAATATTAAATCTCAATTTTCCTAGAAAATATCGGATTAAAGAGAATAAACCCACCATCTCTCTCAAGAAAAATTTCGTTGCTTTCCAGATATCTCGGAAAATGTTCGAAATATATCGAATGTCAAAACGGAATTTTATTGAGCATCAATTTACGCAACTTTGCCTTAATTTAACCAATCACGTATCTCTTTGCGTTATGTAACATCCATTCAATAATAATAATACTGTTTTCAGGTTACCTCTCACATGCACATCAGCACCATATCCAAGCAGTGTTTCAACTACTAAAGGTTTACATGATTCCACGGCAATATGTAGGGCTGTGTAATTATCCTAGACAAAAAAAGAAAAATATGTGTTACTTTTATTGTTTCTTCGATAATAGAAGGAGCACCTACATTTGTTGTTACATCTACTTTTTCTCCCTTCTGTAACAAAGTGTTGATGATTCCTACATGACCATACCTTGCGGCTGTGTGAATGCTTCTTGCACCGTCCTTGAAAAATATAAGAGTTATGTATGACTTGTGAAAGCTGAAATTGGTTTATTTGCTATGACTGTACAAAAAATAACGAGCTAGTCCAGAATCCCTGTTGGGATTCCCTCACAATGCGTTAGCATGACCATGATAATAGACTTCATCTAGCAATAGCAAAGAAATCATCAGGTTCGAAAGGGAATTAATTATGTCTTTATTTTTCAAATTCAATTTTCATATGCTAATATTGCTTCATTTTCAAATTGATTATGTATGTGGCAGTAGACTTAATTTTTTCTATCACACATTTCTTCGCGATTATTAGGAATTCATCGAGCCCTAAGCGCTTATAAGCTCCAGTGCCCTCATAACTAAACGAAACTAGAGTTATGAGGGTATTGACAGATACTAGAACATATCAATGTTTGACTTAGAGATGATGATAAAGGCGACGAAAAGTTGCACTGGGTAAAAGCTGTGTATTCAGTAAATTGCTAAGACTAACTATTATTTTTTCAAATTATTTGTAGATAAGATCAAAAAAAAACTAGAATAATCAATATACCTATACATTTTGCTCGAAAAGATTATTGAAGCCCAAGGAAATACATAGCTATTTTGTTCTCCTATAAATTATTTAACAGGCAATGTACATACTCTAAATACCCAAGGCGGTTCTATGGATAGTTCAAAATTAGAAATTGGTGTAGTCATTCCTGGAAACTTATCACAGATTACTCGATCCAATACCGCTCGAACAACCGAACTGAATATGACTAGGTTGAAAAGGAATCAAACAAGCCCATGTCATTTATGTCCTTCCGAAATAGGCATTGCGTATTTTCACTGCAGTGAAAATGACTTGAAAAAGTGTTTGCATTTGAAATTACCATTGGTGCTAAAATTAGCTCTTTTAATTATACCGTCTTTTGTAACAAAAACATGTTGATGGAGCAGAACAGGAAGTGCTGCTTTATAAATATGACACAAATTTTCCATTTTTAATGAAAAAAAAAAAAACACTGAATATAAATTAACATTGTTAATATTATTCAATCTTTTAATTGTTTTACCTAATAGTGAAAAATTGCTATGAAAATCTAAAATCTATTGACACATTATACCAGTTTTCATTATTTCAACAATTACATTAAGGTCCGGTAGCTTCCTGTGCAAAAGCATTATTAATTCTCCACAATTAGTTTTGTTCTATAGAAAATTCGAAACATTATGTTAGGACTCACGAATAAGTTGTAATTCTCAGACAAAAAATATTTTAAATTGTGTATTGATTAACTTTCTACGTATTTTGTGCTTTATTGGAAGATTTAATGCTTTAATCGACAATATAGGAATATAAAAATTTATACTTTGCGATTTATTTTATATTTTATGTGACAAACATATAATAAGTTAGTCCCTTTTACCTATCTCATCATAACCCAGTTTCAAAGAATTCTCGCCCAGTGTCGATTAAACATTTCATTTCGAACGCCGAGCAGCCCACACTGCATTCAATTATCTACTTTTTCCGTTCTGGTGTTAGAACCAATAATTATACCGTAGGTAACTACCTATTCCGGCTCGGAGACACTGTTTGATTCCCCGTTCTAGCTTGACAGACCAAGGTTAGAAATCCTTTTTTTTATGCTCGACAGAGAAGGGAATAAAAGACCACGGAGTTCTAACGAAGTCCCTTCCTCGAATCGTCAGCCGAAGCTGGAACCCACAAAAAACCCCAGACACACAATTTGGATTTCGTGGACGGTTTGGTACTAGAGAGGCTTTATTTGGTATTCAGGTCTAGGTTCAACGTTCTAGGGATGTGTCGGTGCCAGTATATGCCTGTTTCATGGATTATGAGAAGGCTTTTGATCGAGTCCCGTACGAAAAGTTCATAGAATATCTCAAAGAAGTTGGTCTAGATAATCGAGACCTAGATATAATTGCCAACCTATACTAGAAACAGACAGCTCAGATAAAAGTTGATGGCCAATTGTCCGAAGACGTTCGAATACGGAGAGATGTTCGCCAGGGTTGCATATTGTCTCCACTGTTGTTTAATATCTACAGTAATAAAATCAACTATAAATGGCATGAAAATCAACAACCTAAGATATGCCGATGACATAGTTATTATCGCAGATGCACTGGAAGGTCTGCAGGAGCTCCTAAATAAAGTTGCAGATGAAAGCTCGCAATTTAGACTTAACTTAAATGTAGGAAAAACAAAATGGATGGTTATAGCTAAAGAAAGATACATTAGGGGCATATTAGAAGTCAATGGCCAACTAGCCGAACGCATTAATTCTTACAAATACCTGGGTTGTCAGCTCAATGAAAACTGGGACAACATGCAAGAGGTCCGGGCAAGAATCGAACAGGCCAGATCGTCTTTCATTAAAATGAGTTCAGTGTTGTGTAGTCGCGATCTCAATAGCACTCTCCGAATTCGTGTGCTTTGTTGTTATGTTTTTAGCAGTTTATATTACGGTGTAGAGACGTGGATATTAACTGATGCCATGAGCGAAAAATTGGAAGCATTTGAGATGGGGTGCTATCGTAGAATGCTCAGAATATCTTGGATGGACAGAATACGTAACTCGGATGTTCTTCTCAGAAAAGATAAGGAGCTTGATTCACCATCAAAAAACGTAAACTTGAATATTTTGGACACATTTCAAATTGACAAATATCAACTCCTTAAACTGATAATAGAGAGGAAAATTGAAGGAAAAAGAGGTCCAGGCTGTAGACGAATATCATGGCTAAAAAATCTTAGACAGTAGTATGGTGTTAGCACAACTACACCTTTCAGAGAAGCAGTGGAGGAGGTGCAAATTGCGCTGATGATAGCCAACGTTCGAAGAGAATATAGTACTTGAACAAGAAAAATGTACTTTATTTTTGTAGCAAAATATATTATCTTTACCGTGAAGACTTCCCTGAAAATATCTACTGTATAATTTTTTTAAAATCGTAAACCAATTTAATGCAAAAAATGCTCCAGCATTCGAGCGGTATTTGTCTAGTCGTCAGTGGTAAGTGGTATGTAATAGAAACTAAGCTAATTTTTGAGAACCATGAATAGATTTCGATAGAACTTAACTGCTTTAGGAATTTAATCATTTAACCCCTTTTTATTTATGTATTAGCCATTTATTTAACTACCTACTGATACTGGTCAATTAACTCCAAGTAATTTTGCAAATAAGTCCCAAGTATCAAAGTTATTTTTAGAATTGTTTCGAGTAGGTACCTAGAGTGATGATCTTATTTTTGACATGCATTACACTGCTGTAATAACCCTTGGATATGCAATGCCTTTTTTCTCAAGATTAACTTTGATACCTATACAATATTATTTTTTTTAAATATTTATATTTTGTGGTTTACTTTTCAGATTTTTAACAATACGCTTATCCTAACCTATCTTTCTAATTCTATTACTCATTTATGTCTTTAATAGGATCTTTAAATTGTTTCTCTACAGTACAGTGGCGCTCTCTTAAAAATGCACAAACAAACACTATGAACCATCCCAAGCTAACAAACGCTGAGTATAGCTGGAATGATTATGGGTGATTTTTTATTCTGATAAAGGGTCATTACAATCGACAAATACTTTGTCAAATTTATAATACTCCTAAGTTTGGAAAATTATACACGATCTGGCAATATCGCATGGAAATTTCCAGATATGACTCCCCAAAAATAAAGTAGCATCCCCCTAGTGCTAAAAATAACGGAGGCAACTCTAAAATTATCTTTCGAACTTGATGGAATAACCTGGTGAACCATATGTAACGATCGAGAGTTGAAGTATAAAAGGAGTCCGCGCCAAGTCAGGGCGAGGAAGTTGTTAATCGGACAGTAAACAGGCAATCGGACAGTTTGTTGATAAGTTCTAATGGAATAGTTATGTAAACAATTAAGCTTAAATTCAGTTTTGGTGTCACCATGTTTTAATCCGTATACATGTGTTCCTAATCACTATCTTTGCGTTAATAAATGTAAATTTAATACCTTACCTTATTTGGCATGTGCAAATATACTCCTTTCTTGAAAAGCATCATAGCACAATCAGCATGTCCATTTAGAGAAGCTATGTGCATTAAAGTAGAGCCATCTTTCGTCCTTTCAAAAATGCTTGCCTTGAATTTGTCAGCTAACAATTCTTGAAATTCAAAAATATAAATTGAAATTGACATCATAAATAGACTATAAACAATTTTTAAGCGTTAAACTATTTATACACCAAGTGAGTTGAATGAATATGTTTATTCATGAGCAGAAAGTTTAGCCTACGAGTCCGTTTCACTTCAAATGTGGAAAAATTTACAAGCCTTGGAACGCGCCAGTTGATGACGTATAAGCATTTTCTAGCAGTCAAATTTAGGGAGACTCCATCGACAAAGCACGAACAGCTGTTCCGGTTGTCGCTGGTAGAAGTTTTGATCGCGCTGTTGCCAGTTGTGATTAAATATAGTGGACCCAAAAAATAATAAAACCGATCACAAAAAATAAATTTGAATTGTATAAGGTTGATAATAATCTTAGAAAAAAATGTTATAAACTCTTGAATCCCTAAAAAGTTAATAGACAATTTAAGCTGGACCTGAATTTCAAACATATCCGTATCCGCATCGATCTGCGCATGCGCAGAATAGATACGGTGGTTTCGTTGCATTGCGTCGTCCGTATTGTTACGGGCCTAGCCTCGAATCCGTATCCGAAAACGTTTCTCAATCATTTGACACTATTGAGAGATCTTCCTGTCAATTATCGCTAAAATAACTTTAATAACATAAACACAGTACTTATAGATAAAAAGAAAATCTAAAAACACAGCTACAAAATTCATACAACACTTTTTGAGGTTAGAAAACGTTACATCCAAGGATACGACCGTTTACGTAATGTATGGCCATGCTTGAAAGGACTTTTAGGCGGTTAACGTAAGTCGATGCGTTTACGGATGCGGATACGGATACGTAGGAAAATTTAGGGATAGCTTAAAGCTTCTAATGTATCTATTTTTCTTGATATTATGCCAACATTTCAGAATTAAATATATTAAAATTTTCAATGCTGAGTGGCAACTGCAAGCTGTGACGTAGTGAGGATAAAGGACCCCGCACACTTCTTATGGAATTTCTGACCGCGGTCAAATTAAACCAAATTCAGGTATGTTATAGATCTGACCTTTCTGATCAATAACTACCCTGGGCACAACTTAATCCTATGACTAGTTTTTGAGATACAGACTGTTCAATGTGTGAATGTCCGATATGCATTATGGCCATTATGACATCATATTCAAGCAGCCAAATCATATTCGTGTGAGAATAAGGTCAAGGCACAGAAATCAAGTGAAATACCAATAGTTATGTGTGCTCGAACCATATAGACCCTGAGATAGGGTTTGTTTAGTGGAGTCATTTTTTTTTTGTCTGGCATTTTGAGGGATGAATGTGGCTAGTTAGCTGATGAGAATATAAGTGGTTTTAATGCCTGCCTTCTGTTCGAAATGTCCACAGAATGTTTTGCCGGAAAACTCGATTTCGAACTGTGATTACCGTCTTGCGATTTTTCAGCGTTATTTTCAAAACAAAACCTTTCATTCTCTCGATTGCCAGTCAAAAAGTAAACGCGGAAGGTTCTTTTTTTTTCTCTTGGAAGTTAACACCTATCCCCATTTTTTCAGCTATTGAAAAGCATCTGATATTTTTTATGGGTGAATTATTTATCAATGTCAATCTTTTATTTAAAAGCCAGAAAATTTGAGATCATAAAAAAAAATCTTCATCTAAATCAATTTTTTTCTTCTGCAAATTTTCGAACGGGAGGCCGGAATTAAAATCACCCATATTCTCATCAGCTTAGTAGCCACATTCAGCCCTCAAAATGCCAGACAAAAAAAAATGACTCCACTAAACGGCCCCTATCTCACAGTCTAATAGGTTCATGTACAGGGTGTCTTAATATTTTCCGAAACGCATTTCATAGGATAGATGAATTTACCCATTTGTTGCTGTTCTATAGTGAGGACATAAAGTCAGTGTGTAATTGGAAATTTACGACCTTTTGTCAAAATAGCTGTTTCTCCCAACGTAATTGGTTACCACCTTGGACATGTTAAGGACTGTCCATATCTGTTTTTCCTAGAATGTTGCATATTTTTGAACCTGTTATTACTAGCTAGCTCATTCCTCATGTTTCAGTGAAATTGGAATCCATTTTGCCCAATCCTGTGGTTGTATGTAGTTGCTGAGCTTCAGATGTAGATTTCCTTCCTATTCTACTTCACTTCTGCCAGATCCTTCCTTCTCCTATATGAATTCTGTCAAAGAGAATTTTTTTCTCAGTTCTGGAGTAGATTTCATAAGGCTTGAATTTACGTTTCAGTTGCAGAAATGCACGAACCATATTGGTTTCACGCCAACAGCAGAGAAATGTAATAGTTGCAAGTAGCTGGTGCTTTCCACTTTCTTGCTTTATCAAGTCGGTGATACTGTTTAGTTAGTTGCTCCAGTGTTAACGTATATTTCTCCGGGCCTTATGACCATCTTAAGTTGCCCAGGTATAAATACAACCTGTGATGACGCGCTCCCGATTGTGCATCAAAAGTCGAAAATGAAAGCCCATCTGGAAAAAAAAGCTAGCCACTAGTGCGAGCGATACGTTATCCAAAAAGAAATTCCAACTTGAGACCGCCATTGGGCCGAAGAAGACTACCTTTAGGATAGACACTGACCCAGAAAGGCTCAACGCTTGAGTTTAAGGGGTTGTGATTTCAGTCATGCCACTGGTAGGTACATTTTAAGGGAAGTAGTTTATTTGAAGTCTGTTCATAGTCATATTCTTCAGTAGACTATCTTCTTGTGATATGAGGTGTGGAATTATGGATTCCGGGGAAATTTGGATGCCGTCTGTGTTTTTAAATCTTCAAAATTGAAAGATTCATTCGACAGTATTTTGTGAACTACAATAAATTTTGCTGCGTTTCTTATGGTATAATTCTGGAATTTATTCCGTATATTATCGTTCACGAAGATTTGAGGGTTGGGATCGGTTGGGCTAGTTCTATGAGAATAAATTTTATCAATGGACGACTGCAAAATTCTTCCATTACTTTGATTTCCTCAAAATTCAGTTCATTATCTTTCATTTCATTTTTTTCGAACTGGTGTTTCTGCTTCGGAGGAACTGTTTCAGTGTTGGTGTTTGATGTAGAGAGCTGCTGTGAGTTTTGAGCGAGGTTTTGAGTTTGTGAATTGATCAGTTCTATGACTTTGGATATCAATTGGTAAATTGTAGCTAAAATATTTTCACTCTTCTCAACCTTTTCATAGACTAACCCAAACATTTGAGTTAGTAGAACATAAAATTCGCTAAAATAAATGGTATCTGATTAAATCACCTATGATATTCGCATGCCCATTTTCAGCAGCCAAATGCATTGGGGTCCGATCCTGATAATCCGTTATACTTGCACCTGCCCGAACACTATAGAAATATTTTACAAGTATTTCGTCACCCTCCGCCGCTGCAATGTGCAGTGGCGTCTGCCCTTCGCCGTTCCGGATATCCACGTTGGTACCATAGTCAACCAAGATTCGGACCTATAACAGATAGAAACATATTCAGAATTAACTTTATACATTATCAAAAATTATACAGAAAAATCCGCCCTTATGATCATTTTAACCCTTCTCGGATACAAAAAAAAAAAAAAAAAAATTTGGCGAGTAAATCACTACGTATCTGATGTTATGAGAAAACAGTGGCAAAAAATTTATGGTTGCGTGTTTCCTGCGATTTGTCAGGTATTCGAAAAAAAAAAAATGCAAATCGCCTACATTTGAATTTTTTCTCAGAATAAGCTTGGGATATTCACGTATTATGCGAAACCTCGCCATAATCTAGGAAGGGTAGATTTAATATGGACGCGCGCTAGAACGTTGAGCAAATATTTAATTCCATAAATATGTAACTAGCATTTTACATGGTTTATAGAATATTGGATTATAACACTATGGGGAAGTAAAGCTTCGGCGAAAACCAACAAAAAAGCCAATTTCGTTATGTTCATGTCAGATTTCAACGCTAAAATCGGTCCTATGGGACTAAAAGCAGCATGACATCATAAAGGTCGTAACCATGTTCGTAAAAGAAATTTTTACCCAAATTACGTCGTGATCAGTGTGTCTATTCTTGAAACCGGGAAACAGCGTTCTCATGAGAATGAAGGTTCTGTCTCTGTCGCCCTTATTTATATTTCCATAACACTGACAAAGATAGAGCAATCGTTCTCGGGAGAATGCTGTTCTCCGGTTTCGAGAATAGACACACAGGTGATTCGAGAACATCCTCTCTGTGGTAATGGAGCTCACTGCGAGGAAAGAAGCAAAATCTCCCCTAAAAACGAAGTTCATAGCCGGGACATAGGAGATGGATTGGGCTTCAGAAGATTTTACTTGCGTCTCCGTTAAGCATGTGTGGTTTTTTGTGCCCAAGATATTGGTGCACTGAGTTCAAGTTGGCACTAATACCTCTGATGTTAGAGAATCCAATTATCAAAGTTGATGTAGACTCCGCTCGTACACCCTCCTCCCGGAGATTCGAATGGGACGGTATCGATCTCCGGAATTCTGCGCAAGGTCACTGAGGGTAAAATATGAAAAAGAAGAATAAAAACAAAGGAGAGAAAGTTACGCTCCAGGTCCAGAAAATTCGAATCGGAATTACGGGACCAGAATGGAAGCGAGGGGTGGTACTGTCTCCGTCGAAGAAAAGCTCTTCTCCTACTCCAAGTGATGAAAAATGGTCAGGGGTTACTGGATAGGAAAGGTAGGAGAAGAAGAAATAGCACGCTCAAGATTAGGTGGAGGAAAGAATACTTCAGCTCGGGTAACTCAGGGTTGCCAGGCCCGCGTATTCCCTAGATGTGAACCCCGGAGTGCATGTATTGTAATTTTTTACTGTTTCTTCATAGTGTCTCATTTGTTGAAATGCGTTTTTTTTTATCAATAGTAAACTTCTTATCTTCTACTTTTTTTCATTACAGCTCTGATCAAATAGTGATCACTGATGTTGTTTTAGATAGTAACATTTTCGCAAACGGCTTTTTCCTTTGTAATAATGTAACCTATTTCGTTTCTTGTAATGCAATTGGTATTTTTCGAGGTCTCCTCTCCCAGGGTTTTTCGAAAAAGGACCATATAACATATAGAGAGAACTTGCTCCCTCTCTTGTAGTAATAATAAATTAAGTATAACATCTCCTGAAAAATTTCATGCACCCAAACCAAGTCGGCCAAAAATAACAAGTACATCAAATATCCTAGATTTGCACTTCATTCATTCATTAAAAAATGCATGGGATGTAAGGAAAGTTGTATGGAAATCCGGGGAAGTAAGATCAAGTTCAAATGAAAAGAGATATTTCCTAAATATTTAAATTTTAAAACCAAAGATAATAAACTTTATCTGAAGTTTATCAGCGTTGATTAGGATGAAAAGTTTAGGGAAGTTTAGAGATCTGAAAAAACATCGGGAGTTATCAAGAAAATGTGAGGAAATCGAAACAAAGTTTACAAGCAGACCGAAAAAGTTCAGAAAGTATTTTTCAAATAATGGTGGAAGTTTAAATGTGAAAATTGGTAGGTGCGTTTCTTCTCGGTCTGATGCTAGTACCTACCGCCTTCTTTATCGATAAGGCTGTTTTCTGTAAAAATATATTATCTTATTAGCATTTATTATTAATATTTCGCGCGTTATCTTCTGCCGGCAGCGGCAAGAATAAATATACTCGAGAGAAAGCGATAGGAATTCACAATTATTATATGAGTTGACGTCAAGCACATAAAGTTTTATGCTAGGCTTCAAATAGGCAATCATAAAAATACTGAGATTAATATCCTCAAACAAACAGACAATTAAAATACTGAACCATAAATTTTTATAAATATTTCAATATCTGAGCAATTTAACGTCAAGCTTACAAAGTTATATTCGACTCTAGCATGGTGAAGGACGCTTGGGCGCCATTTACTTATACTAAATCTTTTACCAGATGTCTGTGGCCAGAAACAAAGGCCACAATATGGCTTCAATATTGATATTACCAAAATCCAGTAGAGTTTTATTTATCAGGCCGCAACTTGACAGTAGAGGCAATTGGATAATTGAGGGAAATTTAAATTGTGATGAAGCTAGAATAGAAAGAATCCTGGGAAAGAAGCAATATTCTGATTTCCCATATCGAAAGAAGAAGTTGACAATTATTATTGATTTATTCGTTAGCGTATAACGAATGACATTGAACATTATCATTCTATGTTCTACATAAAAAAAGGATATTCTATCCATGACTAACTCCGTCTCATAGCTCCGTCTCGTGAAGGCAAATAGTATGAGATTAGGAATTGATAATTATCTGTTACAGTATGGAATAAAAAGCACGAAACCATCGAGCTTTATGAAACAGATAGACAGACAAGCTACACCATTTTTATTTTAAGGAAATCAAAAAATAAACCCCACAAAAGGGTGCGAAACTTGTCAAGAGTTCAGAAACTTAAAAAACCCTCATCTCATTTGAGATGGATAATTTTTTAATACATTATTGTCTATATCGAATTCTGCTGGTCGGCCAAAAAAAAGAGACGTGTCACCCAGAAAGCTTTTTCAGCCACATATTGCCACCTATATTTTTCCAAGCTGTATTACCCCTGAATGGGTCCACCTCAAACATACAGTCAAATAAAATGTTGTAGTGAGATATGCAAAAAGTTTTCACTACCTGGTAGTGTTATTTTGATCGACGTAATATTTGAAAAATTAGTTTGCCAAGTCTTTTCGAGAACCTTTTTTTGCCCTTTAAAAAAGTGTTAATTAGGGAATACGGTTTTGGAATGAATGCTCCAATCTGCTTGAAGGTAATTTAACTGTTTAATTATAACCGGCAAGCTGGCAACTGTTTTGGTGTTCAAGATCGACTACTCTACTACCAAACTAATGCCAATTTCCCACACCATCAATCATAATAAATAAGCTTACCATGTCGATGTCTTTTCTCCGTACAGCCAGGTGAAGTGCTGTATCGCCATTGGCTGCAGCTGCTTTTAGTTGTTCTGACGTCAGCGTGCTAAGTAGTTCTCTACACATCGATTGATTACCAGCCTCGACGGCTAAAAGTAGAGGAATTTTTCCTCTCTGAAAATAGATAAGTAGGTTGAGAAATGTTGCAGTTAAAATCAAGAATTTTGGTCAACTTAAAAATTGTTAGTAAAGAACACTAACTTTGGAGCTCGATGGTGAAGAGACAGATCAATGAAACTAGGGACGCCCGACTACTTTGAATGGTTTTTAGAACACGTCGAGTTGCAAAAACTCCAAAAAAAAAAAACTAAAACTTTCTGGAAAATCTTAACAGATTTTTAATAAAGACCACAAGATGTTCACGTTTCTTCGGTGTTCGGTCATGCACAAAATGAACGTTGTTTAAAAGTTGGAGTTTAAGGAGCCAGACACGACTGTAGAAAACACACCAAAAACCGCTGAAGTTAGTCAATGAACTTCTTGAATGTTAAAATTATTATGGAAAAAAAAAATTATAGCAAAAGATGAAGATTTTGAACGAAGCAATTCAATTTTCGATCATTAGCTCAAAGTTTAGGATCCGCTATAAAAGCTAATTTACCCCAAAATTTCCTAGTATAAGCCACAGACTAATTCATACTATACTAGTCTATCTTAAATAAAACTTTATTCGACATGCTAACGTTCTTATCATTTGTGTTAGTCACGGCATCGGCATGGGTAGTTATGAATGTACTTATTATGTTTTTTATTTCTTGAGACCGACAATAAAATATAAACTAACCAATAATTTTTTTTAGAAAAGTGAAGGTGATTCAAGTTCTTTGGCATTTTTATATTATATCAACTATTGGGTTATTGGATACAGGTGATGGTTGGTTGGGTAACGGAACGGGTGGGAGTCTTGCGGATATTTAAATTACTTAATAGCTATGTGAAATACACATCAACGTCTTTTTTCCTCGTCAGAGAATTTTTTGAATGCAAGGTCCGAAATCATTTGAAATATCCTAAGTTTGGGTTTCTTATCTGATTTTCCACATAATAAACCGCATTAGATATCCAACGGGTCTTTGAGGTCGCTTATTACGAATCCGATGTAGCACAGCTGGTCACTACCTCGAAAAATCTCTTAAAGGTGGTGTGATCCAAAAATTAAAGTTTGTAACGTGTAAAGTTACATGTCCCTTTTTCTTTCAAATTCCATTTTATATAACCCTTTCAATGTTGACAGTCTGGTCACTAGCATTAAAAATACAGGGTTCCCGCTCTTATAATATTAGCAATTATTAAATTATTACACTAGAGGGCACGATTTTCATTTAAATTTGACGTACCGGGGTAAATACCAACGTTTTCCGTTGAGAGGAAGCGCTGCCTGCTCACCTTGTCCGTTTCAATTCCCCTTCTTTCTCAATTATGCCGTCGAGCTGGAAGGTCGATAGGCTGAAATCGCCATCTCCTCGAGACACCGTGCCGTGGAAAAATAAAGTACCTTATCGGCATTCAGGCATTATCTTATCCGTTGATTACCGAAAAAATTTGAATCAAAAGTCTTGTGATCACCATTTTATTTGAGTTTGAATTTTAACCCCCCTCGTGATAGTTTTTTTTTAAATTTTTCAAAGTAATAGCTTTTCAAGGAATGCCTCTATTACTTGGGGTCTTTCGAAGAGCCGTTTCTTCCAACAAATCTATTCCTAAAAGGCCACATTTTCAATAAGAACACCATTTCCGTGGATTGTGGCATAGAGCTTTTGAAGGGATTCGTGCAAGAATCAAGACCCGCACGAGTCGATACGTGTGCCCCACATTTGACGACAACAGAACTTCTAGTATCTTACCAACCTTGATTCTAGGCTAGAATCTGCAACTTCCTCGTCAAATGATCGAAAATCGATAGCTACCGTGCTCTACCTTATGTTGGAATGGAGGCTTGTATAAAGTTTCATTAATAACTTTTAATACCTTTTCTTTTATAAAATCAGTTTTACAGTCAATTAACAAAATTAAGATTTTTTTTTCATATATGATTTTCATACACCTTTGAAATCTCCCATTCTCGACACCAAGGCGATAGTGAAAAATTAGCATTCGATTTATCGAATTTATTATGGATTTGTCTTTGCCTAACTTTTAATATCGCCATAATTAAATAATGTACTTATATTTTATCATTTTTATCAATAATAATCGATCAGTAATCTGACCAAAAGTCAAGGTTGGACAACATGTTCTAAATTTGAAATTGTTGAGTAAGAGCCTACCGTCGAAAATCGATCAATTTTCAACCCGAGGTCCTATAACTTATATATTGGAGGATTTCCCTCATGTCTCCAGACCATTTAACTGTTATATAACACAACTTTCGATTTTTTACAGGTACAAATTGATTTTTTTGAATTTATTTTTTTGCAGAAGCTGACCATATTTATCAATACAATTTTTCAATCATTCAACTTTTTTTAATTAGTTTTCTGGAAACCTAAATCTTTTATATTTGCATTTCCTGATAATGATATGGCCAGCGACTGTTAATGAATTTATATGGCAAGTATATTGAGGTGCATTGTTATTATACTACTATTATTTTATTTTTTTGAGCTTGACGAATATGATTGAAAGTTAACCTCTTTTATTTGATTTGATCTAAGGTGTTTTATCAACAATAATTGATTTTATATTTTGAAATCCTAATTCAATGCTGGATTTTTGACTGACTGTGAAAATATATACTATTTTAATTTGAAATTTAGTTAAATGTTTTATTGGTTTAACTGTATGTCAACCCACCCCTAATAATTATTCGCTGAACAAACCGTGCATATTATGGGCCTGTTGTTAATTCATTAACAAAAGGGGTTACAAGTTTTAGTACAAAAATATCTAAGAATAACTATTTAAACCGCATCTTGCTACGATGGTCCGTTTTCGAGTTAGGGCGGTTTAAAGTTACAACTAGGTATTTGTGACGTCACATCGGATTATCAAGCTCATTTAATACGTCTAAGAATTTTCCAAAACAAAAGATAATTATCTCACTAGAACAATTTGCAACCACTCAAAGTATAGGGTACGGGTCACTGACGACTGAACGAACAGAAGACTGCGATTTCGGCGGTTGTGACGTCACAAGCTCCTGCATAATTTATCTTCACAAAGAATTTTCTCGGAAACTATTTTGAATACAGGACTGCGGTTTTCACGAGAGATCTTGTATTTTTTTCTGGATTTAAGTAGCTCAAGTCGTTTTTTAGGGTCACAACCCCTTTAAGAGTTTAACGAGCTAAAATGCCAACGGAAATTTAGATCAGTTTTGATTTAGAGTAGTTGTTTCTTGTTGATTAATAAACTTCAATATTGCTTGAACAGAGAGCTTGAGCTTATGTCTTTCTGATGAATCCAAATAAGAACGAAACGCGTAAAAGACTGGATAGGGAATCTTGCATCCGCAGGTCAATTCACAAATCTCTCTGATGTCCTCGACTTCACACTGGTTAATACCTGGATTTTTTTTACAATTCACATTGCCAACGGAAATTTAGATCCGTTAGTGTGATTCAATGCCGGTAGGAGTACTTCCCCTCGAAGTAGTAGTGGTTTCTTACTGGTCAACAAAGTTTAGTATTATTTGAACAGGTTAAGTTTATGTTTCCTGATGAGTCCGAATTAGGACGAAACGCGTCTGGCTTAGGGCTTTGCAAGACCAAGACCAAGACCAAGACTGGCCAGTCTTGGTCTTGGTCTCGAAAAATAAATGCGGTCTTGGTATTGGTCTTGGTCTGGATGTTTCAAGATCAAGACAAGACTGGCTCAGTCTTGGTCTTGGTCTTGATAGTCTTGAAAAAAATTCATACTAAATTTTTAAAATACACATAACATCCAACGACAGAGCAGAGATAATGGGTTTTGGACTTCAAAAATAAAAAATAAACCTCTCTTTCACAGGCTATTTTACCACCAAGAGCGTTTCATGTCAAAAAAATACTGCATAAAGCATTCCGCAACACAGAGGAACAAACAAACATCAATTCTTAAATTATAATTTTTATTAACGGAACAGGAAAGTCGGCAAACACATCATGAAATTGCCATTCTGTACCGAGGAAAAAAATAAATTTCTTTTTGCACCATACATTAAACCTACCTTACCTACCTGAGCATTCAGGCCAGAGAAAGGTTTTCGGAAACCTTCACATATTCACTCACATACCTCATTTGAATTTTATTGGTCTATTCACAATAATTAGATTTGGGTTAGTTTGGGTGAGATGTGGGGTTTGTGTTAGTTTGGGTTAGTTAGTTAGTTAGTTAAGAATTATTTTTGGAAATTCCAATAATTAGGTATTATATTATGTAGGGATAGGAAAATATCGATGTATTGGTCTTGATCTTGGTCTTGAACGTCAAGTCTTGGTCTTGGTTTTGGGAAGATCAAAAAGACAAGACCAAGACTAGTCTTGTGGTCTCGCGAAGCCCTAGTCTGGCTAGAGAATCTTGCACCCACAGACTCGACGTTGACGTATAGACTACCAATATACGCACCAATCTACGTTTAATCTCTCAGTCCAGTCGGATTTTAGACACCTACCATGGCGGCAGAAGACTGAAAAATGTTAGATGCGATTTTGGCTAAGCGTCTTCAAGAAACCGAGTGTTTCTCAACGCTTTTCTTCGTTTCTCAATCAGACCATTTTATCAGTTGATACAGTTTTCCGGGGCGTGCTCACGGGATTTTTCACATGAAAATAATACCTATACCCAGTAGATTTTTTCGAACTTTAATTGTCTAAGAAAATAAATTTTTTTCACTTGTAGATTTTGAAAAATTAAATTCATCTGTTTGCCTGTCTCTGAACTTTGTTCAAATATGGCAGCAACGTTTTTTGAATAATAATTAAAAACAAGCTTATTTTCTCAAAGCTTTGATACCCTGTATATAAGAAACGGAGAGATTTTGTTTAAACATATATTTATAGAGCAAAAAAATTTTGTTTTAATGTTTCCCACCACCCCTAAAATTTTTATGAAACACCGAATCTCCGTTCACTTTTATTTGTCATCCCCTCGTTTCTCGAAATTGAACCTGGATCCACAGCTCCTCGTATATTATT